TTTATAAAAAGAAAGATGTTCCATGATTTGCATGTAGACTGAATACTGCCAGGTTGCCCAGGCCAAGGCAGGAGAATTTTCTTGAGGAATCCATAACCGGAGCCTGTGGCTAACCAAAGCCTGACTAGCAAGGCAGCAGGACGGTGTGAAGACCACAATCCATTGAGAGCCGGTGTCCAGTTCATCGGATCATACACCCTTTGAACGGGGTAAAATGTCCGAGGTGCCCAATACTTCCTGATGCCCAATCGAGCCGGTGATCACTGCCACATCGAGGAGGGTGTGATTGAGTGTGGTTCGTACACCTCTTCATGGTTGATTTGGAATCAGGGTTTTGGCTAACACCCCACTACCCTGGACCGGGTGACCGAGTAGTACAACAGCCGACAACGCCAGCAATGATGAATTCTTCGACTTTCATGTACATTCAGTCTACCATTTCCATACCTACAGATAAACACTCTACACCGTACACACACTCATACCCCTCCCCCCACCACCCCAGTCCTCCCCAATCCCACCTTCACCCTCTTAACCCCTCCCCTCTCTCGGGTTCTTCAGACGATCGTGTGAACAGTAGCGCTTCAAATGGAAACTCTGCCGCTGTTCCCTCATGTCCTACCTCGACTACCGTTCAAGTCTCACTGAATCCACCACCAGCTGAAGCCCTTCTTCGCCCTCGATGCCCATTCAAACTAGCCACATTTAATGTGTGTACTCTGATGCGTATAGGACATCAGGCCGGTTTAGGTCGTACGCTCGCGACCCTAGTCATCGATGTGTGTTGTATCCAAGAGACTCGCATTCAAAACTCCAGCTCCATTATCCGATTGACGTCCCCATCGAACCCAGTGAAGTTTCACTTACGCCTGTCTGGGGACCCTGAGGCTGTGGCTTACTGTCTTGTTGGCGTTGGTGTGGCTCTCAGTGAGAGAGCTAAAACCGCACCCCTGGAATGGTTCCCAGTCGACAGTAGGTTGTGCGCAGTGAGACTTAGAGGTTCGTACAAAGTAAACAGCCGTCGCCCCGATAGACGAAACCTGTTTGTCGTGTCGGCGTACGCCCCACCGGACTGCAGCCCAGATGCAGTCAAAGATGAGTTTAACCATAATTTACACGATCTCTTGCGTAAAGCGAGTCGGGCTGATATGGTGATTTTAGCCGGAGATGTGAATGCTAGATTAGGTCGGCTGACTTCGAGTGAGACGCATCTGGGAGGTCCTTTCGAACTAGATTCCTGTCGCTCGGAAAACGGGGAACGGCTGTTGGCTCTCCGTTGCGACCACCGCCTATTCCTCGCCAGTACGAACTTCAAATGGTCCAACTGCCGGTACGCCACCTGGCGTCCGTGCTTCTCGAGTCAGAGACGAACACAGATCAACCACATCGCTATAAACCACAAATGTTGGGGTTGTAAACAAGACTGCTGATCGTACTGGAGCACTCCCCTCGAATCCGACCACGCTTTAGTTTGCGCCAAGCTGTCCATATGATTCGGTGAGCATTCCAAACTTATGACACAACGATGGTTAGATTGTGATAAGTTATCTCAACCAGCACTCCTAACTATCTTTCAGAATGCGCTAGCTGAAAAGCTAGAACCAACCCCACCCGGTGAAGTTAACCAGCACTGGTCGCTTATCAAGAATGCTTTGCATTCTGCTGGCTTATTTGTGGTCTGACATGTCGCGCCGCGACATCCTGGATTTCTGCAAAGTCTCTGCGCCCTCTCGACGCATGCTGATGAGTTCGAACCGGCAGCGAGCATAACGAAATACGACGAGCAACGATTCGCACCCTCAATGTAAGCCTACGCTGAGACCGCGAGATTTGGTGGACTAAACGCGTGTTAGAGGTGGAACGTGCTGCCGCTATGGGACACTCCCATAAGCCGTTCGATCTCATCCGGGTCACCGGTAGGAAAGCCTTGGGTGTGAGCGAAACAATCTGCGAGGCTGACGGTTCGCCCATTCACAATCAACAGCGACTTCTTGAACGCTGGACGGAGCCCTTTGAAGCACAGTTTAGCTGGCCACCAACGTCAGCCTTTCACACAGCTATTCCGGCACACGTCTCATGGTCTGTCTGAATAGACCCACCTTCTGAGGCGAAAATCCGTAAGGAGATCCTAGCTTTGGGACGTCACAAGCGCCGGGCTCCGATGGCTTTCCCTCTGCTTTATTCAAAGATGGTGGAATAGAGCTTGTTAGAGAACTACAAGTCCTGTTCTCTAAAATGTGGAACATTGAGCAAGTCCCTTCCTCGTGGGAGGAATCGATTGTTGTCCCCATCCTCAAAAAGAGCCCGCGCAATGACTGCACCAATCATAGGGGATATAAGCCTAATCCCGATGGCGTCAAAGATGTTGGCGTCCGTCATTCTCCACCGATTGTACACTACGCGTGAGGAGCAGGCTGGATTTCGCGCTGGTCGTGGATGCANTCAAGTCTTCACCCTCCAATAGCTGCTAGAACACCGTCATGCTTATCAAAGACCAACGATCATTGTATTCTTAGACATTCGCGCGGCCTTCGACTCTGTCGATAGGACCGCACTGTGGAACTGTTTGCTGAGGAATGGAGTACCCGAGAAGTATGTGTCGATCCTCAAAGAGTTGTATCGTCATACCTCAGGTCGGGTTAGGGCCTATGGTCAGCTTTCGCCACCCTTCGCCGTAGTAGATCACATCACGAATAACAAAAACTAGAACAGCTTTCGCCAACCTGCGACACTTGTGGCGCCGCCATGACATCCGACTGTCTTTTAAGGGAAGAGTGTACGTCGCCGCAGTTCGTAGCGTTTTGCTTTACGGTTGCGAGACCTGGCCTCTCCGCGTTGAGGATGCTAATCGACTTTCTTTATTCGACCACCGATGTCTCCGAAGCATTGCTCGTGTCTGGTGGGAACATCGGGTGAGTAATGACGACGTCCGTCGTCGTGTGTTGGATGTGGATAGTCGTCCTCTAACAGAAGTAATCGCTGTACACCGCCTCCGATGGCTTGGTCACGTATTACGTATACCTGTCCATCGCCTACCTTTCCGTGCTCTCTTTTCACGTGCCGGGCAAGATTGGAAGAAGCGCTGCGGCGGTCAGACCATGATATGGAGTAGAGGCATGAAGAAGTTGGCTTCAGCACTCGCTCCGATTGGTGCAGCCCGCCTTCCAGGTTGGGGCTTAAGGGCTGAAGATTGTCGTTGGTTAGAGACGCTGAGAGATATGGTCCAGAATTGAATTCAGTGGCGCGAATGATGTACGGGTTGCCTGTCGAAATCCCGTGCTTTATAAGAAAAAAGTGTACGGTGAAACACACTAAAAAATGTCATCACATTTATTTGCTATTTCTCATTTTAACAGTTCCATCTTTTTCCTATGCTCTGTATCCCTCTTGGATTGTTATCGTTATTATTGTTTTGGCGTTGGCACCATGCTTGTCCGCAAGCCAGTGTTAAATATATATTTACTAACTCCCCCAGGTGACCTACCAGTGATCCTCCAACCCGGTTTTAGTCCCGGATGTTGGCTTTTCGTCCTCTCACCTTGATGGGAAAACATCCCCGACCCACGAGAAGGCGTTGAGTAGGGCTTCTTCAGTACAGGCTATTCGAGACGCTTGGTCGTGTGGGCGCATTTCGTGAGGTACAAGGGAAGAGTGACCAGCCGCAATCCTAGACACCCACCCCCGACCATACTGAGGCTTTCGGAGGTTTCCAATTCTCTTAAAACCTCCGCCTCCTCCACTCATCCAGGCACTCGGCAGCGTTAAACTTGATTTTCCGTCACCCCACTACTCATCGGTATGGCACATCCACTGTCCCACACATATATCTCATGTGGGTAATGCAGGATTTGATTAAATTTCAAATGAGAATTCGTCGTGTATATAGCAAATGAAGCGTGAACTGAAAAGCTAGGAAGCACTGGACAGCTGTTTTGACCTGGTTGGGTCTCATCAGCAGTGCGAATCCATCGAACCGACTGGGGATCGAACCCGGGGCTTCATGAAGTCATGAGTTTTATTATTACATAAAGTTGAATTGAGTTGATTTTGTTGGTTAAGACACTCATTATTCGTACCTAACTGTCGTCTTCTGTACCGAATCGTGTTTTCAGGCTGGACTAAATTACTATAGAGGCCTAATAGATGACGTTGGAACAGATTCACTAACCCATCTGCCTTTCCCTCACTTTGTTTTTATTTCGAGTTTTGATGTAATATGATGTGAGGTTCGCTTCACTGTGTTTCGCTTGAAACTGACAGTGAATAACAATCGGTTTGTGTTTATTTTCCCATTCACTTTATGAACACATTTTTCCTCCTGTTGAAACAGTCCCCATCTACTTTTTACTCATCATTGTCTTCCAGCTTTAATTGAATATGATACAGTTTATTATGATTCGCCTATACTAGCGTGGGTCTATGCATTTGTGTGTTTCTGATTGCCTGTGGCTAGACATCGATAAAAATTTTCTCCTCAACACTTGAATTTTGTATTTGTTCATCTGTCTAGTGACGATCAGTGATTGAAGAAAGCCAGACCTAAATGTCCACTAACAAATGTTTCACGGAGCACTGATTCCGGTCACTTAGAAATGCATTAAGAAGCCCTGGGAATTGCAGTTTGAAAACCAACTTCGCTTATATCCATTCAAATAAGGGTAGAGATGTGACGCCATAAGTGAATATCGATTGTCTGTGTGAACCGGTTCTGTTTGTCCCAGGTAGCATTATTTCATTCGTCGAACACGGTGCATAGGTCTCAAGTTTGAAGCGGACAAAGGAACACTCGAATAGATTTATGAACAGTTTATTTGGCCCAAAAAATGTTTTTCCTATCCGAACCAGACGTGCATTGGATTTCTGGTTGTCATTTTGAATCCGGTATTCAGTAATGGCACAACGCTTTTCCTTCTCTGCTCTCTGTGTCACAACAGATACGGACGGTGTAACCGATCCCATCGACCTGACCTTATGTCGATTGCTCCTGGTATCCGATGATCTTGGTCAGAACATTTGGTTTGCTACGCGTTCCGGTATTATCGGACGGTTTCCGATGCCCTCGATTGGTACGTCTTTGTTGTACTGCTCTCATCAACCTGTGTTTATGTGTTTACGTCTACTGTTCCCCTACCCACCTGTTGATCAAAAGCTCTCGTGTTTGTCGAACACTTCCTTCCTGTGGGGAGCGTGAGGGGAACAAAATAGCTGGATTTTTATATTCGCATTTGCGCCGTTGCTATTGTAAATTGTTCAACTAAACAGAATATTGAGTTTCAGCTTTGATACTATGTGTGGGATTCTCATTGGGCATACGAACAATCACTGTAGCCGCTCGACTGAGTTTCCTTGCCAAAAAACGATCACCTCATATAAGTATTTGTCTAATTAAAGATACATTTTGAGTTTTTCGGGGGCGTGATTGTTAGTACCACAATTGCTTTGCAATTCTGCTCTCCCTTGATGTAGTCATAGCAACAACAGTGTTTTCCGTGCTTATTTGGCCTCGGCGCCTCAGTTTTAACCTTAATATCCATTGATTTGAGCTTCTCAAAGGCACATCCCAACAACTGTAGTCAGCACTTGTATCCATACTGCCTTTGGTAGAAGAATGAGTATCGGGGAGTAGCACATCAGACCTTGTTCGATGTATAACAAGCCTCGATTGAAAATAGAATCGCTCTCTCTCTCTCTCTGTGTGTGTTTGCACATAACGCCGAGCGCGGCCTAACAGCGGCCAAGGTTACAAAATCATGCATGCTTGGAGGTTCACAAACCATGTGAGTGGGCTAAAATTCATCTTTGAAGTGTGGAGAATCAATTTAATAGATCACTTCAACCCCTGTATCTGCGTCGTGCTTTACGCCAAACGTACGCCTTGCAAACTGTTTTCTGTGAACACATTCGGAAGTGAACAATTGATTTCAGTGATTCCTCTTCTAGCCGGTACAGATCAAATAAGGAAATGGCATGTTGAACGGGGATTGACTGCCAGTCATTCAAAAGTCACGGTGATTGGTTGAAAGGGAGATGAATGGGGTGTGTGTGTGGGGGGGGGGGTGCGACGTGTTTCACGCCCCTAGATCACCACAACATCGCAATCAAACTGTGATGCGTCATCCGTGAGAGATAGAGCTTTGGCCACGGCAGTTGAATGACATGGTCCGATCTCTTTTGTGCACATAAATTGGGTTTGAACAAACGAATACCGATCGCTTCCACGCAGTGACTATGATGTGGAGACGCAGCGGCTTGGATGGGTGAGGTGGTACTCAATAGACGACTTTGAAGGCTGATTCAGGCTTCACTTAGTGACCTGAGTCTGCTAGGTGAACAAGAATAGCGCTTCCTGTGACACCTTTTCCACCGTGTTGAAGCCAGCGTGGACAAGGCTCTTTAATCCGCTGATACGATTGCCTTGCCATTCGGCCCATGTAGGTTGCATTACAATCCAAATGGGCAGCCAAAAGACAGCAACCAAAACCGGTGCACGATAGTGCATGGTTAATGACTGTAGGAACTGAACTGAACTGAACCGGTTGCGTTACAAACGCAGCTGAAGGAATATATGGCCATAGATGAGGTCAGCGTAGGTAAACTGTCTTTATTGGATGTTCTTATTATTTGTGAGCCTGCGAATACGTATGGCAACCTGGCTGCATTGAAGGTTACTCTCACAGCACGCGCTAAACCTCTCCTAACCAGATCAGACAGGTCATCCCTTTTGAATGGCAGTTTAATAAACAGTTTCTTCTTCGGAGCTTCCTGGACAGACCTGATTATCACAATAATATTGTTCTTTCACTGTTTTTTGTCAAAAGTACCCAAATTTTATATTTTGCATATTTTGTAAATATACCATGCACGTCATGCCTTACAATGACACGAGAAGTCGGTTCCATTGGTTCTGTATGTGACACGCTGCTCATCCAAATTTCATTTCAGCGGACTCTGTGACTACAAGCAACAAGCTGTATGTACCCAACGCTTCAACATTGGCGATTAGTTGTCATGGCTATCGCCGTCCAGTCTGTAATCTATTGTCTGTGACCGGTGAGTTCAATAATGTTGAGTTAAAAGATAATTGATATGGACTATTGGCTTTCTTTGTTACAAGTGAGCGATTCGGTGCGCACCAATTGAACCTTTCCCGTAAAATGGTTTATTGACTAACGTATAGAACAACGAGATAGAACAACTGAATTGTCATACTTGTAGACCTTGTGTGGTTAATTTTCATTGAAGTGCACACACAGGAAGACAAGTGGTTTTGCACACCATCGCGACCGTCATCTGCTTCTGAGCACACAAAATCGGGTTCGCTCTTCGTATAGTTACGTCTTCCACGAAATTTAGCTGGTCGGGTCGTTTCGGACGGTAGACAAATCGGAATGCGTCCGTTGGATTCACTCGATGACCAATCGCCTCCACACGTTTGGTGATAGAGCTTCGATCGTTTCCAGTTGCGTTTTCTTTTTGTTATATTCCCCGAGATTCGTGTTCCCAAATGCAGCAAAGTACGACCGACGTATCTGCATCCACCAATATAAGAGAAATC